TTTAGAATATATTCTGCATGTCTGGTTTAGAAACTGGGCAAAGTTTCCCAGTCGCTTTTCCGCAACAGTAGTCGTTTTCCCCACCGTGTGCAGGAGTAGTAGGGCAGAGCTTTGCTGGAGTGGCTCCTTATCGTTCTGATAGTGGGTGGCTGTGCCAGGGCCCCACCCAGGGAAAGGCTGTGATGCCCTTTTCCACAGGCGTTTGCAACGCTCCCCGCGGAGACCGCGCGTGTTCCTCACCCCGTTCTCTGTGGGGTGATGTAGCTGGGCTGTGTGACAGCGCTTCGAAGAAGTCCCCCACGGCAGCAGGTCTCGGCTCTAGCGTGGGACTGTCCCCACTGGGCCATTGGCACCATTATTCTGCATTTTGAGAGCCCTGCGAGAAGAGCCTCTTGCTGCTGGGTATGGGGAGGTGAGGGGCCTTTCCTTAGGAGCAGCAGGTGACCACAGGCCATCCCAGAGCCATCGCGCCGGGGATGCTGAGGCTGTTCTTCAGGAGCTGGCCCAAGCTGCGCTGCGGTTGTTAGGCCGAGTGCCTTGCCATCGGCCCCGCGTGGGAACTGAGGAGCAAGCCTGTTTCAGTAGTCTGGGGTCGGTGTGATGCCACTGACTTGTCAGGACGATTTCTGACTGAAGTCAGTGCCTGCTCCATGCCAGTGCCACCGCAGAGCCCAGCCAGCTGCACGCTCCTCGGTTTTAGCAGGTTGTGTCAAGAGACACATCACTGCCATCCCTCCGAAGGAACAACACCCCTCTGTGCAGTGCACAAAGTTGATGGAGGACCTTTGTCAGCCTTTCGCATGGCCTTGGCTCTCGGGACACTGAGAGTCACCTGGTTGTTCCCTTCTGAGGACTCGCTTAACGTGTGCTGCTGCGTGAAGCTGAGCGTGCGCGCGCGCTCTCCGATGAACCAAGGTCGGGGCGAGCGGCATCACCCGAGGCCTCCGCTGCTGAGCCGCTTGCGCGCCGGGGGTTTGTTGGGGTGCACCAAAGGTGCTTTGGTGGCCTGTTGGCTGAAGTCAGCCTGGCCTGTGCGCCAAGAGTCTTCTCATCACCCGACACCCTTGTTCAGATCTTGTAGTGTCTTTGGGGAGCTCTTGTGAAGTCGCCGTGTGTTTGAGCCATGGTTGGAGGGTTGTTTCCCAACGCAGAGGATGAAAGCATCAGTCTTTGGGAGCAACGGGATATTTTGTGTGTGCTTCAGGTTGTGGGTGCCCAGGCAGGGGTACAGGGTGGGGGGTGCAGGGGAGAACAGCAGCGTTTTCAGTAGTAATGCCCACTTGGAAAGGTCGAGGTGGAACCCTCGTTCCTCAAAGGTGTGGAAAACTCTTGCTCTGGAGTTCCTTCCAAGTGAGTTTTCTTCCATTGGGTGTTTATAACCTTGGAGGAGTTGCTACGCTGAAAGAGAAAGCGCAAGGCTTTTGTTGATGAACTGAAGGCAGCACTAACATAAAGTTTTGTTTTTCCAGAGTCTCCACCACCTCCCTACTCTCGGCTGTCTCCTAATGATGAGCAAAAGCCACTGGGTATGTGTTTTCTCTCTTTTGATCTCTCGGCAGCTCTTTCATGGTGCAGGCCTGGTGTTGGTTCTGAGACATCCCTACATGGCACGTCAGGCAAAAGCCGGCAAGTCGGGATTTTATGGCTGCTCATTATTTCTGAGCAAGCATCAGCTGACAGGTTTTAAGAAGTAAATGGATGTCAGTTTATCATACCAAATTACCGTGTAGACACATGCATATTTTCCAAAATAATACGAAGCGCTATTTTTAATGAAGGCGTAATGAAAGGTTACCAGGCTCCGTGTTTTGTCTGCGTGTGTAATCTGCGGGGTGACGGAGCGGAGTGGGAGTCGGAGCTCCTGGGTGCCATTTCCATAAAGCCCTGGCTGCACAGCGCCGTGGAGGAACCGGCTATTACCCTTCCTCTCCTTAGTAAAATGAGACGTAAACTCTTTGAAACTCGGCACTGTATAATTTCTGAGTGGCTTTTCCTGCT